TGACCATATACAACAGCGAGGGGGTTCCATCAAGAGCAGTAAAACTATAGAGATGTTATCCGCTTCTAAGGCTGCCTACAGTCTTCCAAGGCACTTATCTCAAGCTCTGACAAGGCCGGTCTCCGAATCATTACCTTTAAAACCCACAAAACAACTGTTGATTGTAATCTGCTGAGGATGAGGATCCGTCTTGAAATTACATGACAGTTCATGAGATGTTGAAAGGTCAAATCACGAGCTCATTGCACACGAGGAATTCCACATACGAGAGGTTTTACTGCCGAGTTAATAAAAACAGTTCCTCGCTACGCCCTAACATCAGTATGCATATTCTTTATACTGTTCTTTGTACATGTCCTAAGATGTTGACAAGGAGAATTCGTTTAAAAATCAAGAGCTTCTCAAGTGAAAGGGAAATATTCGTTACTGTAGACAGGTTAAAATCGAGAGTCAAAATGTCGACTTGTTACTGTCATCATGTGAAAAATTCAATAGCTACGACATATGGTATGCTTCCGGCAATTTGAAGCCTAGTGTACACCACTAATGAGAGAAGTTAAGAAATGGAAAAAAAGTGAAACCTTAAAGGATTGAAAACTTTTTTGTTCTAAAGTACATTGTAAACACTAATACGTCTGGCGATCGATGATGAAATCAATGTTCGTTTTGTTCTGTTCGGGCTTTAGTCTCAATGATTTATGTTCTCACTTTTCGCCAATTAAATTGACAGAAGAATGTCACCCTTGCTGTGTGATGATTCCTCAGAGAGGTTACAACAGTGCGAGTTACTAATACACAGCTGAGAGTTTGAGAGAAGTTATGAAGGAAACAAGTGTAATCTCTTAAATAAGTCATCTCATGATCTGTATTGCGTAGTAATACGAAGTTAACATGTCGAGTGAACCCGTCTAATGTGATGACTATAAAAAATGAACGGGATGCAACTGAATAGTTGCAACTGATTTTCATCAGTTGATTGTTATTTCTTATGTTTGCTGTTGGCAGTGGCTCTAGTTTTCATCTCAAATAACAAGTTCTCTTAAGTCAGGTACGCAAACTCAGGGAATTTTTCTTTTGTGGTAGCCCAAACAAACAAGATGCGTGTTCGCATAATAAATAATGTAAACAATCAAATGAAGTGTGATAAATCTGGAAGGGGCAGAGTAGAGATTAGATAATAATATCGGCTGAGAAATACTCACGACAAACCTGAAAATTGAAGGGAAGCCCAAGTTTTAACAATATAGAAGACTGACCAGCGAGTTGAAAAATTATATAGTTATATTTCGCTAGGAAGGAAAGGACAGAATGATGACGAAGACAAATGGTATGAAGCTGCCATCCTACGCGCAAAAGACGTCGTTGATTTCCATCTAAATATAAATCAAACTCACACGATATCTAACATGGCCCGTCTTGGTTTGCACATCCCACGCACTCATCTTTCAAAATTCAATTACGTGGTACAATTTTCAGGGAAGCGTTTGCCTTCTAAGTAAGTTGGAGTTTATCGATTTACTTACAGTCCTTGTCCCTTGTATCTGCCTTGAGTATGTTTCTCAGCTTCCAAGACAAAATTGTCGAAAAATCCTCGAAAAACTAACGCTTGCGACAGTTCTTGGTAGACGAAACGAGGTTATTGTTTCACGCTGCTTCTTTGAGTACAAATTTAAACTCAAAGAACGTGCCAGGGTAAATACGGTGCCACACGAAAAGCCGGAAATCCTTGTGTACTGAGGACATGCGGTCAACACTGCAGCGGGAAGTGCACATGCGTCAGATAAGTATCAACGTGACTCCTGTACATTCCAACGTTCAATAATTGCGTTTCACTAAATTTCAGTTTCTCTTCAAAAGAGGATACGTAAAGCTACAAGGATATTATAACCGATATTCATCACCTTATCCATGCGAAAACTGGTTTCCTTATCAAGGCAGATGTTTAGGGATATTATGACGTATTCTAGCAATCAATAGTTTAAAAGCTTGCATAAACTTGCTTTTGAATTTTGTTCCGTTTGTGATAATTTCTCCAAGATTCATCTAACATCTTAAGAACTACGTAGTAACATCAGACCAATATCCTATAGCCAAAAATTTTAAGCGATTTTTAATACATGTTTTTTTGGCCAGCCTTTTTTCCACCTAAAGTTTAGTTATGTCTTGCCTTGTGATGCAATAGATGATCATAGATCAGGAAAGAAAATCTCTAAAAACCTTCTATTAGACGAGAAAGTACCCTTTCAGGTAGTGGCAAGTTCCATTTGTATTTCCGTATTCAGAGAAAAATCTAAAACAGTTGGAAACAAGCCCTCATTCAGTGAGTATTGTATTGACTAAGCAAACAAAGAGACGAATCCGCTAAGACGTGCTCCTGCAGTCCTTCACACATTCTTATAATTGCTAATGGTCGCAAATGGTCACAGAAAGTGTAATCTAACAATGAAATCAGGATGAGTGGATTTAACTCAACGTCATTTCGCGAAATGTGGATCAAGGAAAATTTCAAGTATCCTCTCCGAGAGCACTTTTTGTACTCAGCAGCCAAACTTCTTGTCGTAGTTAATAAAGCAATAGGGCTCGTATCATCGCCATTTTGGCAACAAATAAATCAGTGTCATCCAAAATCTTCACACAAAGTAAACAAGGAGCACGTGGGGTCAACTGTTCCAGCTTATATTGCGTCAACAGACGGAAAACGCTTCAAAGACTCGGCATTGGTATAAAAACCAGTTCTACCGAGTCTATTACGCCGCAGCTACAAATTTGTACCATTCAGACCAGGGTGACTCCTGTTAAAAACATTTTAATACAAAAGGAACAAAATGAAATAGCTGAAACAATCATGACATTGATCGTCATGATCGATCAACAGTCACGACATTGATCGTGCTCCACCGCCCACAGGCACACCTCCAAAAATTCAACCAATCTTGTTCTTCGATCAACATAGCGCCAAAATTTATGTCATTATTGAGGGTCGCATTCTGTTTTCATTGAGCGGAAACTGAGTCATGTTAGAAAAACACTATCTTTTTTTAATAACTGATACAGCTGACAAAGCTATCGTCTTCGGTGTCATAATTTTATTGAACTAACAACAGTCATAAGTAATTTGAGGTACCTGTCTGGTATCCTACTTTTCCGCCCGGAGATAACAGGGATTCATGAATAAATTGCTTATTTGCAATCTTGACCAGTTTTTTCCTCATTACTGAGGAGGCCAACCTGCATAAAGCATAGCTCTTCCTCTCTCCTTGACAGCTTTGATTGCGGTTGTGTTCAGTTCAAGGTCTAAGGTATATGTCTTATTTGTTTGCGATTGTATGTTTACTCGTTATCAGACTACATTGTTAAGCTTCAATTAAAAACTTTTAATCATAGACATGCAAAATATAAAAAGACGCAATTTTTTGAATAATAAAGTATGGTGTACGATATTGAACGAGCTCGCTTCTGCGAACATTTTAATGCCTCTCCTTACAGAAGACATGTGACTAAAATTTCTGTCGATGCACCGACGTAAACGTCCTCTTAAGAAGGATAACTCACTCAGCGAACAAATTGACTGCGACACTGATTTACCTTATTAGATTCTAGCAAATTTTCTGGAATTTAATTTTGATCACGTACGAAAGGCAACACAACTTTCAGAGGTCACGATAGCCTCATCTCCAGCTGTCATCAACAACCGCGGTAAAAACTTCAGTATATTACCAGAATATAGCAATTCCTTCCTGCATTTTAATCGGCACTTTCAAATTTCTCGCATCCAGGTTGAATGATAATTCGAGGAAAAAACGATTTGTGGTAAGATACTATGATCAACAATAGAGCCACTTCACTCACAAGAACGGCCGGAAGTTACTAATCACAGCAGGCCTTGAACACGGACTCTGTCATGGTGACGCCTTACTCATAAGTTATCTCGCTTGAGAAGTGTGTCTTGTGAAGCAAATGAGAAAACTAATTTAGACTGTTCTGAGAAACTTGAGAAGAATACTGCTAATACGACGCTGAGAACTGTTAGAGTACGAAAGCTGTTTACTGTTTGAACTAAGTTTGGCGCAGGCATGACTTCTGCTCAGAAGGATCACGTGATTCTTGGTAATCCGCTTTTCAAAGACATGACCATGAAGTGGGTATTTTTGATTCGTAATCAATAAGAGAGTTAGAGAGGACACGTAATATGTAACGAGCAAACAGTTTTGAAAGAAACAGTGCGTAGGTTTCTAGTAAAGCTGGATTTCCGGTGAACCTGATCATTTTACGAAAGCTTCCAGTGTGAGAGACGGTCATGAGAGAGACCACAGGGGGTCACACAATCTTTTGTTAGCAGTACATAATAGAAACCCGCCCAAGAGAAACAAAGAACGGTTCGAGTTTGTAGGGGTTCTAGATATCGAGATTGGTATCCTGTTTATAACTAATGAGGAATCATGCTTTTACCATTCTTTTTTTTAAGAAGAACGTTTAATTTGGGAAGTTGAGTTAAATGTATTACGTTTTCATATATGTTATTACGTCCATATCAACCGCAATTGAGGATTGGGACGTGTCAGTCAGCTGTGTTCTAACATTTTGACGTTTATAGGCTGTCGTTTTTACTCAAAGTTCAAGCTTATAACGGGAAAAATTTGAGACAAGGAAAAGTAAAACAGGAAGTTCGAGTTAGCTGATTGTAGATGAGTAGAAGAAGGGTCTAATCCAAGGGAAATCGGATCTTATTTCATACAGGAGGGGGTCCCAGTTAACCGGGCTCGAGTTAGCGGTTCTACTGTATATCTCTACTTCGCCCTAAAACTGATAGCAGACTGACCAGACCACAATAGCCTCCCTGAGGACATGTAAAATAAGAAGCCAAATTGAAAAATTGAACATAAATTGAATTATTTATGCAGTTTAACACTGAAAAAAGCCACAGCAATTTTATAAACGATTCTTTCCTTTTAAAAACGTCTTTAAAAATACAACCGAAATACAATAATTCGACGTGGACCGTTGTTTAAAGGAGGAAATCCAGAGGTTACCGCGAAAGAGAACGACGAAAGCATGAACCAGCTACATTAGAATGTAGGTCGTCTGTCAATACTTGATTTCATTTTCTGCGATGGCCTACGCGCATCAACAGCTGATCGGCGACCACGAGCGGCGGCAGCTACCTTAATGTAGTCTTCATTGTCTATGTCTTGCGTATCATCATCTGGTGATGCGTCCATCTGTATCACATTAAACGAATCGATAGCAAATTTCACGACAAACAGTGCAGGTAGAGACATTTGAGATTTGGTAATGGTGACTTTTTTTATGACTAAATTGAGGTAGTGAATCAACTGCGGTTTGGAACTGAATCTCCTCAATTTTACTCTATCAGCGACAAAACCAAACCCATATGGATCTCCACGCTTTCGCTATTCTATGATAAGATGAAATATCAGGCACATTTTATCGAATTCTTAGTTTAAAAATACCAAAATAATGATTTCCCCCAAACTGAACTGAACGCTTTTGTTGCCCTCCTCAAACTTGCATATGGAAAGCTCCACTGTAGGTTATCACACGGTATGACACCCTTAATACTGAGCTCGTACCGGACAGCGAATACAAAGAACATCACAAGTGTTTAGACCCGATCCTAAAAGTCCCAAACAACAAAACGCAACTGAAAAGGCAATAATAGACAGCAAGTCTCTATAAGAGAAGTACAGTACACCTTGGGGAAAGGGGTTTAGGAACATGTGCAAATACGTCAAATTGTGAGTTTCACAATCACAAATATGAATCAGCAGCCCCCCCTCCCACCACACCATGTTGAAAAGGAAGAAAAAATACGAATTTGGATCGAACGAGATACAACGGTGTAAATACCTCTGATGCTTCATCAACAGCTGGTGAACCTTGAGACATCTGCTTCTCAGCATCTTGTATCAGTTATGAAATAAGCAAGACTACAGTAAGGGAACTAGTGACCAGTGTCAGATGAAGTCTCTCTAAACTATTTGCCCAAGAAAATTGGGCAAATAGTTGAATGTTCTTGTTGCAGAAGTGTGCCATGGTCCCTGTAAAATCCTTTCACTCCCTACTGTCTGCTATACAATTGTTACATACATACATACTTTATCGAGACTCCCTTCAACAGGATTTTCAGTCACAATGTTATGATATTGGTTTGAAAAATTTGGTAATGGATAAACTAAAATTCCCCTAATTGTATTTTTCGTTACTCTCATCACTTGTCTGCTTGTTATTATATGACATTACAAGGAGAGAATTCTGTCTTGGTCACTCATAGGAGTCAAAGGCTTTAATCAAATTTGCTTGAAAGGTATGAACCTTTAATCGTTGAACATCTTGTACTACCACACTAATGCAATTTATGCTAAATTAAGACTTAAGCAACTAATGAGATACAGAGGAAGGATTACAAAATACCTATTTTCTACTAAACAAGTAAAATGATATCTTCAAAACCAGACTAATGGTACAGTTAACATATCCAAAAAAATTAATTGAAAATTGATTTGATCTTTGAAAAAACTGAAGACTAACAGAAAATAGCTTACCAGGTGTTGTGGCCGAGAATGTCAAATTTGCCATCTGAGCAAGTGCTTCTGTCAGACCAAACTGAGTTACATCACCAACATTTTCTTCAGTCGAGTCAGAGTCACTCTCTTGGTCTCCAGTTACAGCACCATGTTTATCCTAAAGACCAAGGAAATAACAAACAAACAGGAACACTACCCAAATGGTTGTTTCACAAACCTTGGTTATGTCTTCCATTTTTCTGTCAAAGTTTGATTATGGGTGTTCAAGGTTTGAAGACTTATAATCAAGAATTAAATGAAGTTTGGTGATAGGCTTGGTTAGTACTAGGATTATCAATGTCTTCTAGTTAATCAAAGCTGTAAATGGTACTTAGTGCTTGTAACTTTTGGGTACCAGAATTTCCTAATCAGCTATCCTCCACTTATCTGTCAGCAATTAGTTCAATAAAGATTATTACAGGTAAGATAAGAATTTTTCCTCTTCTTTGCATCTTACATTTCTTGCTTTTTTATGTGTCAATTATTAGCACTGTTGAGTCTAGTCACTCTGGCTTTGTTGTGAATTCTAAAATATATTTTTTTGTCCTAAATGTAAAAATGGCCTCATGAGCCAAAGGAGATGGTGTTTTGAAGTTGCTAAGAAAAACTTAAGAAAATAACTAAGAAAACATGTTTCAGTTTAGTTCTTCACACAACAAACCTTCTCCTGAAGAAGCCTTTCCAAATAGCTGATTCTCTTACTTCTTGAGGTCATTTGAGAATACTCGGAATACATCTGACTCAATCTAAAATAATATTAAAGAACTACGCTAATTCCTGTGATACAGCTAAGATAATCAGCTGTTCCTCAACTGTATAACCAACTAGAGAATGTACAAAACAAAACCAAAATTCCAAAAACTGAGAGAATCAAAGAAAGAACAAGTTCTTTACCATGTTTCACAAAGGTGCCCCCATGGAAGATCATTGAAATATGTGAATCAAAAAGCCATAGAATAATGTTGGCACAAAGTACAGTATGTGGGCAGTTATTATACAAACATGTACTTGTACCAATATATATATAATCCTAAATCAATCCCTGGCATTTCTTAACACTTATACAGAGGTGTATTTTTATGACAGTCACTATACATTGATGTGTTTTTACCTTGTCATATTTTGCCGAAGTCGAGGTCTTGACTTGATGTCAGTTGGCATGAAGTTTGTTTTAGCTGCAAGGAAGGTCAATATTTATAAGTGTTTTAATTAGTTAAGATCCTAAGATTGTAGTTTTTTTGCCTAACTTTAGCTTTCTCTAGATGTCCCTCCACTGTTGGCTTTCAGCCCTCTTGACTTTGGAACAAAAATAAACTTTAACATAAAAGGTTCAGCTAAATTGAGGATTTTTAGAGCATGGTTTTGTTAAACAACATCTAAACATTATTTAAATAATCAGACCTTAGTGTTTTGTTGCTAAAGAACACCATGTAACCTTTCTTAACCCTTACTTCTAGATATGATTGACAAGTAACTTCTCCCCGAATAAACCACACATTATGCAGTAAACAGGTGATTAGATACTCAAACTCATTAGGTACAAGTTGTTCTTATGATGTAACACCAAATTCTCTCAGCTAAACTAAAAAAATGTGCAGCAACGAAAAGGGAGAATTAACAAGCAGATTGTGGGAGTTAAAGGGTTAAGAGATAATAACACTCATGACTCACAGGGGTACCTACAAACTTACTATAATATGGGCTGAATTCTGGCTCCAAGTCTATGATTTTCTCTTTGAAAGTGATCATACTTGGGTGTGGCACTTTTGTAGGAGCAAAATTAATTCTGAAATAACCAAACAAGATGCTTTACCAAATGTGGTGGTTGCTTTTGGGAATGGCTCAGGTTTCATGTGGATGTGGATAACAGTTGAAATATTGAATTTCAAATGCTGTGTGTAATTAAATCAAGGCATGGGGGAGTGTTTTTGACCAAATTTCATTTGACACATTGAAAATTAGAATTTAAAACATACAAAATACTGTATAACAAGAATGAAATTATAAATAAAAAAAGTTGTGCAAGTTAATTTAGAACTGTATTTGCTAAACCCAAGAGAGTACCAACAACAGCAAATGATTTAGCAATGTAACAGATGTCAGTCCAGCTGTTGAGAGTGTTTGGAAAAACAAAACATTTCTTCCAGGAATGCACTGATATGTCTCAGGAGTATGGGACTGAGGAAAAATCAGAGTACAGCTCCAAAAGGATTTGAACTGCAGTTGTGATAATTTTTCTATTTTGTAGGGTGTTACACTGACTTAAGGCCACAGACAGTTAATTTTTTTGTTTTCTTTAGTTCTATAAACTGCTTGCCAGCTTGGTCATATACCAAGTTCATTTCTCACCAGCCTCCTTAAAAAACTGGTATCAGAAATGTCAGAGTCTATCATTTATAAGAAGGCAAATTTTGAGCTCAGCCTGTCTTTCTGGTTCACCAAAAGCACAAATTATCTTGAACTATTCATATCTATACTGACTATACTAAAGAAACCATTGCTAGCTAATTTTGGGATCCATACTACTCTAAACCTTCTCCAGTAATAAAGCTACACTCATTATCTACAATTATATCTTAAGTTCATCTGTACACTACCCTGAACTGTTGCCTGAGCCACGTGGGGCAAGTTCCAAGTGTGGAAATGCACTTTGTTGTAAATAATATCTGGGTGGATGATGGCTTTCCAGCTATAATATAATATGTTTTTAAGGCAAATTTTATTCATTAAATAGGAAGGTTTTGTAGTCAGCTGAAGCTATGGTGCAAGTCACTGGCCTCTATTATACAATGATCCCTTTTGCATAACATAAGTATGATAAGTAGTGGAGGTTAAGGCCTTGAAAGACCAGTAATTTTAGCGTGAAGAGTCCAGCTGAACCGATTCCCAACCCCTTGGCAAACTCTTGGCTCATTACAGCTATACTTTAGTCTGGAATACAGCCTTGCTGCTCTACGAAAAGTAAGCTGAACAGGAAATAATTATTGTTTGCCACAAGTATTGTGTATAAACTGCTGATGTTAGTTAGTTAATAAATATATAGACTTCCTAGACATGTTAAATAAGCATTTATGGCAATGTAAATTTTGTTAGTAATTTCAGTTGTGTTAATAAATAATGTTAGCATTCATTTGCAATTGGTATGTAAAATATATTAAATAAACAAGTAAATTAAGTAAGAAATGTTAGTATTGTAAGCAATACATAACAGTTGTTAGTATTTTTAGTGAAATAAGTAACATTATCATGGTAAGTAGTGCAGACTAAGTTATATTTCCAGTAAAAAATCAATTTAAATGAATGTTCATTAGCAACAGCCTAATGCATGTAATAACATCTACAAAATTTCTAGATTTTGGTACTAATTGTCATTCTATACAATTAATATTCACACTAAATTTAAAACAAGAGGCTACCTAGTACATGTACCTGATCACACAAGCCATAACCATAGAAACCATAAGCAAAGGCAAGCTCTAATTGGAGATCTCCAGCATACTGTGAAAATAGAATTCAATATTTTTCAGTTGGTATTTAACTCATGTCTGTCTGTACCAGCCTAATTGTCACCTGATGCTAGAAGCACTGAAATGCTTGGAATTCATTCTAAAGCAGGGCAAGAAACTTTCTTTTCAACTCACTTGTTCCTTCAGAAGAGTCACATGATAGTGCTTATCTAGATCACAAGTTTAAAATTTGTGAAAAAACCTGATAAGAATGACTACTGGGTAAAAAACAGGATTCACTTGGAATTTAATAGCCACACTTTGCATAACGTAATCAAATACATGTGACTACACAGAATTATAGTTCTTTTACTATCTATAAGCAGCAATTATTTTTATGGGTAGCAAACATATAAATCATGTTGAAATACAGTATCATATCCTATAGTCCAAAGTCAGGTAACAAAAAAGAGGTTTTTCCCCTATTTTTGGAAATCCAATCAGACAAGTGAGATTAGAATTTTCCTAGACCAAATAGAAAAGTTATCTGTCCTAGTCTCATTTTGACGGCTCCAGTTTCCTGCCCTGTTAACTAATCAAAGGTTAAGAAAATTGGTTAAAAATAATCTAGGAAATCTAACAGAGTATGACAGCCAAGTAGACAAATCTTAACTTACTTTATACTTTACAATAGTCAATTTGCTTTGAGGTTAAAGTTTCCAGCAGAACTGGCACTTCATTCTCAATCCTAAATATCTTCTACTCATAAAGCCACACTATATCTATCTTTCTCAGGTCCAATCCAGTGTTTCTGGTTTACACAAGATAGCAAAGTTCATTGTTACAATTATTTTTCTCAGAAATAACCTGGCTATGAACACTACATGAAATATTTTTGCCCAAAGTTGCATATAAAAACATGTCACACAGATAAATAAAATCCAGTTTTGTATAGTACAAGAGTCAACACAAAATAGCTGATTATACCTCTATCCTAATAATAACAAAGAACTTACTCTACCTTTTTTTGTCTATTCTGTAACTCAAATGTCTCCATGGACCATTGTTTCTACAAGTTAAAAATGATAAAACAATTTTACTTTTATGGCCTAAAAATCAACCTTAAATTTATAATAAATGCTGTCATTTGATCATTGCATCATAATAGATCACTGTATCTTACACAATTTGAAAAGTATGTACACTGTTCACAATGAAAAATTTCATGATATGCAAACTTATTTTTTTTTAATAGATACCTTGAATCACACACCTTAGCTAGCTTGTGCACGTGAAACTCAGTTTTGCCAAGAAGTTTGTGTTTTGGAATTGGCTGCAGTTTGTCAAACCCCAGGACAGCAATGTTAACTTCATTTACCAAACTTGTTGCTTTGGGAGAGACCTCAGTTAAAAATATAAACACAATGATCATTACAAATATTTATTATGAGGCTCTTGATATATCACAGTGCTACAATTAATTGAATGAACTCTTTCACTCCTGAGATCTGAAATCATTTGTCTTACTATCTGTCATACACTTCTTTTGATGTTGGCTTGGAAATTGGTTTTGGATCAACTTAAATAATCCCTGACTGTATATATATGAAAATCATATATGTGCACTGTGGTTGAAGAAACAAATTTAGAAGTGATCCTCACAGTTATGAATACTACTTAACTAGTCGCGAATAAAGGCCTAAAAAAAATTCAGGTCTGTACAGGATTTGAACCCATGCATTGGTATCGCAGAGGTCATGGGGTTCAAAACTCATATGGGCCTGAATGTTTTTTTCAGCCTCTATTTTCACTACTAGTTAAGTAGTATTCATAATTGCGAGGATCGCTTCTATGTTTGTTTCTTCAACCACAATGCACATAATTATATGTTTTTCATATATTTACAGTCATGTATTCACCATTTGGAGGCTTTATTTGTTACCAACATAATGACCAGCTCCCAATTGGCTTGTTAGCTCAGTTGGTAGAACAATGTACCAGTATTGCTAGGTCATGGGTTCAAATCCCATATGGGCCTGAATTTTTTCAGGCCATATTTTCACTACCAGTTAAGTAGTATTCATAATTGCAAGGATTGCTTCTACATTTGTTAAATAATCCTTTTATTGATATTTTTCTTAATTTTCATCACTTGTTTGCTTGATATGGTATTGATACTGTAATGACAGAATTTATTTTGGTTGGTTATAGGAGTTAAAGGTTTAACCAAAAGAAAGTATTCTGTTTTACAGATGATCTTATTGAGTACCGAATAACAGAAAATGAAAGTATAGATACCAGTAAAAGTACATGACTACAACAACCTGGAATTAACATGCTCACAGAATTTTGGAGAGGGAAAAATGCAGAAGAAATACTTTAACTCATTGAAACAGATGTAGCACTTACAATAACAGAGAAATTCTTGATCTCATCCCACACCACACAGCCTTTTTTGAAAGGAAACTGTAGTGAAGTGCATTTTGTAATTAAGCCAACTGTTATTTGGACATATATTCCAAAGTGTTCAGGGGGAAAGTTTGCATCAAGGTACAAATTGCGGCAGCCAAACACATGAACAGCAAAAATACCTGTCTATAACAAAAGAATTAATCAGTAATATTGTTCAAACACAAAGTTAAGTGTGCCATTGAGCAGGGCTCCAAGCTCAACTACCTTTTTTAATTTCTCCTTCTGGGGTCTTAAAATTATAAGATGATTGGCAGAAATAACTTTTTAAGTTGCCAATTAAACTCTTAGAAAATTGTTTGTCACTGTGTCTACAATAACTTTTCCCACTCTAATCAGAATCTCCCTAACTTCTCTGAGAAAAACAACACAAAACAAACATGACAAAACAGGACATTTTTTACAATACTGAACATCTTCAATGCATGGTCACCAAAATTGGCAACTTTCACTAAAAATTTACCAACCAAGAGTTTCATCTTCCCATTAGGGAAACCAGAACCAGTAAAAATTAGAACCCTGTACAAAATGTTCACAGACATGTGTAAATTATACTCATTGCTCTGTTTGTCTCATGTAGCCATCTATAAACCTTTTTAAAATTATTGGTCCAATAACCCCCTCAACTACAAATACACTCCAGGAACACCTACAGGTAGTGTTGCCTTATCCACCAAGAGAGGGTCTTTCTCTTGAGTATAACCTTTTTTCCCACCTTCAGAACTCTTCTGCTGGCCTACAAAAAATGACAATAATATTGTTTTTCTTCTCAATTTTTCCCATTTAATCCATACCTATCTACTAATTCTTCTATTAAATCACTGTCACATCAAATATCAGTAAAGCCCTTGGCAAAATACAAAAAAAGTGGGAGATCCAGAGGCTTATCAGTTAGAGCACTGGATTCTGGGTTCAGAGGTCTGGGTTGAAGACCTGGTCAGATTATTTTGTCATGGTCTTGGGCATGACACTTAGAGAGTCTCACAGTCTCTCTACATCCTGAGCATAATTACCAATAGATTCCATGTTGTCATGCCTCTGTGTAATGATACATGTAGGTCACAGATGTCGTCAAAATATGATAAGAACAAAAAATTGGCACAGCTGAGTGTGTCATTGATGTTCTCACCACATTTGGATGTCTTCTGTGATCTGTTACTGTACTGAGACCCACAGCAACATCACATCTGCTTGTTTATATGACAAAAATGAAAAATATTGTGGTGACATTATCCGTGCATCTGTCAACAATATTCCACAACAATTTGCCCAAAGGCGAGGTGAATATTGTTGAATAATCCCAATACTGATCCCAAAAAGCAAGGGAATTATTGAACAATATTCAATGAGCCTGAGGCAAATAATTGTTTAAGTATAATTGCTCAGGTGCTTTTGGATTATGTTGTAAAATGTTTTTTGTGGGTGAAACCATTCTGGTACAATGGTTTTGATCGTATCGAGATGAGCAGCCAGTTTCCATTAAAATTTAACAGTTAAGTAAATTTCAATCAGCTCTTGGTCCACTTGAATTGTTTAGTTGCAAGCCCATCAACAATAACATGCGTCATGATTGTACTATTGATACATCCAAGAATTTGAGTTATTTTACAATTGCTCTCCCCCTCGTATTTTTAGCGATCAAGTTTTCCCTCTCGTGCCAAATCTAATAACAACTTAATGTCCCTTCTCCCCAGAACGACGAGGTTATCATGATTCAGTGAAATGTTACTTTAAGACCTTACAAACATGCTTGAGAACACGTTAACCCATGATAAATTAAAACAAAGCTGTATTTAAGTGTTCTATAACCATACTTCCAAGCTTGCCGATTCCTGAAAGAACGTTGGCTGCTTCTGAGTGCATTGTTATCATAACTTTAAGAGTCAGATCTAACTCTAACTTCTCTAAACAAACGTTAATGATCGAAAGATAGCGCGGTCGCTTAGTAAAGTCGCGCTAGAACGAGGCAGTAATTTTGGCGCGTTTTTCAGCGCTGAATATGTGAATCTACAATGTTTTTATATGATCGTTCCATTAGAATTGTTCCTTTGCTGGCGTTTTGATTATTTTTATGGGCTTTGTGTGTCTAAAAGGAATTCCCCTCAAGTAGTTCAGGTGAGTTTGCCTTGTGACGTGAATAACAGCTAATGATCGTTTTACTAAGCTGTGTACATATTATACATGTAGGTGACTCTTTACTTCAACATCGCTTCTTAAACACTCTACAGTTAAGCTTATACTTTTTGCTCAAAGAATTAAGAACAAGTAACAACGAATTTTGTCATATTTAGTTATGTAGTCATCGTAATGGGTTCGTTCCATGTGATTTCTATGTAAAAGCCGCTGTTAGCCAGAGCTAAATGTATTGCACGAATTTTCATCTCCCCTTCGGGTTCTCACGCAATGAATTTGATGACCAGTTCCATATGTTTTGTTTTGTTTTTTTTTAATTAATTGCATTTTTATTTCTTAAAACTTAAACCGTCAGGTTCTTTTTTTATTTACAGAGATGGAAAGTCTAAACGATCTGGGAGATTACCTCAACACGGAAATCGTATGTACCCTTGCAGGTCTTGGGTATTCAGAAGGCAGTGACTATTACAAAAGTCCAGATTGTCTTGGTAGGTTGATCACTTTTTTCCAGCAATTGCCAGTTTTAATATATACCACAGAGGTGGATGAAATTTTTCACCTGTGCAGATTGGCTAGTTTGAAGGTGATAAGGAAGTACTATTCACCTCTGAGCAATCAAAGAGACAAAATCAAGAGTTTAATTTCAGATCATTTTGCGGTATACTGATATTAATAAATATTTTTTGATATCTTTGTAATCTTTTTCAATGAGAGAGATGGACATTTACTGCTTTGATTCTTGGTGAATTTCCACCACTGTTCACCTCCACTGTGGTGAATAATTTTTAAGTATTGAGTATTACATGATCAATTTGAGATCAAAATGTCAATCTTTCCTAGATTCCCTGGTTTGAAAATGTTGAAATCAATCAACCTTTGGTATGACCCTTGCAGATGATAGTCTATTTGATTTTTTCCTTAAAAAAATAAAATCAATGTCAATAACTTGAGAACTTGAACTCTTTTTAGTTTTCATTTTCTCTCTTTAAAAGTCAGTAACACAAGAATATAAATGAAATGGCAGGGCAGTTACAACTACTTTGGAAGTCCATTTGAATTTAGAATTTAACACTTATTAATAAAAAAATTATTTGACACTTTTCAGAGAGTCTTAAGGACCTTGTTAGGTTTTTACGCCGTGATGACACCACCTGTGAGATTAGACGTCAACTGGGATATTCAGAAGTATTGCAAAATGTATGTGAAAATTAGATGCTCGTAAAAGAACAATGATGCCATTGATAGGGCAAATAATTAAGTGCTTGTCAACATTGAAAGAAAATTACTTAACACACTAAAATAGGCTACTTGAATGATGATTAGAAACTCCTGGATATCTAGAATTGTATTAATTTTACATCATATTTTTTCAGGATCTTGTCGCCATTCTTAAGAGTTGTTCATCTAAGGAAGGAGAAATATTTGATATGGTTATAAGGTAATTTATTGAACATGAGATCAATGGGAACTCTGATCAGGTAATATATATTTACCTTCCACCTGCACCAGCAAAAGTGCAAGGTGGTGTGCCTTTATAGTCCTCTCCTTTGTAATCCAGCAATGCCCTGTTTCAGGATATATTTATAATACTTTTCAACAAAAGCATACATGGGGTAGTATGGGATATATGATGCATCATTCAATATATATCATTAAATTGAATATCTTTCACTAATTACTTACTCGGTTTTTAGGTTAATGGTAAACTTAACTCAGCCGGCTGTGCTTTGCTTTGAAAATAAGATTCCTGATGACAAAACAGGCCAACATTACTACTTGGATCTTGTTACTCAGCTGCAGGCCTATAAAGAGGTATAATTTATATCTTCAAGTTTAAGAAATTGTTGAATTGGTGAGCTGAATTTTTCTCATACATGAAATAAAGAAGTTATTTTTTCTGGAAGAAGGTAGTTAATGTTTGTTGCCCTTTCAGGCATTTACAGCAAAAGAGGTGATGTCAGTTATTGGACGAGAGCTGGGAAGGCTGCTTCAGATGGTATATATTTCTTTTGAGAAACATTAGACAAAAACATGTGAAGGTCAAATTTTTCCATGTTAAATTTCTCAATGCATTTTCATTTTCACCCATTTCAGATCATGACTGAAATGAATACAAGACAAAGAGAAACATAAAAAGCTAATTGAAATATTATATGCATAGTCTTGTCTTTTCCATAAGAAATAGTTGGGCAATTTCCCCCAAGAAGCTTGATTTTGATATTCTTGTCTTGATGTGATGTCAACTGCATATTACTCACTTACCTCTCCACTTTGAGATGCATATGAATGCTTTGCCTTCTTTTGTTGTTTATGACGTTATTTTTTCCAGGAATGGGATGACAGGCTAGAAGAAGACTCCCTATTGATTGAGAGAATTCTGTTGTTGATAAGAAACATTCTCCACATACCAGCAAATAAGCAAGCAGAGAAGGTACATGTTAATATTGATATTTCTAACGCACTCTACTCTTTGTAACTTTTGTCGTACAATTTTTATTTTATTTTTATTTTATTATGAAATAGAAGTTGCCATGCAATGACTGGGAAAAAAAAAAATCGTAGCTAGTTGAACCTCTCACAAGTCACCTGTGCCAGTGAGACCAAAGAACAATTAGGCTGTGTGTCCTAGCTTGTTGAATCCAGAACTTTTGGACTTTGGGTCATAGCCTGTTGACCACAGAACTTCCAAACTTTGGGTCCTAGCCTGTTAAACCCAGACCTTTCAGACTTAAGGTCATAGCCTG